CCTACTGCTTAATAACTCACTTTTCCTTGAGACAACTGCTTCACACTAGCTTTGAATATCACTACTAAAAGGTGTGGTTTGTCAGTCCTCAAAGATACTTCATTCATACGCAGCAGACGGCTTAGCAGTTTCCTGGGTTCACCCAACTGCTCAGACCCCTGCTCAGTCAAAACATCTTATTTTCTCCATCTCTACACATGTTCAGTTGGCCCTCATCACTCTGTACAAGGCTATATAATCATCTCTTTCAAACTACTGTTTTCCACTAGCAGTTACCTCAACAGTTCCCTGCTATCTAGCCAACTGCCAAGCTAACTGCCAAGCCAACTGCTAGCTATCTAAGTCCAATCTTCCCCAAATTAGAAAGTCGTCAAACTCTTATTACATAAAGGGTAAAAACTTCCGCTGTGCATCTATTAATCTCTCAAAAGATTATAGATCAATTCATCTAGAGGGAAAAACTTCAAAAAGTTGAAAAAGATTTAAAAGTCTATTCACCCCCCCCCCCCCCTCTAGACTTTTACCCTATCCGGGACCATCAGTAATGGATCATATGCTATTCATGGTGATCAACAAAATGTGCCTATATTCTCCTTTCAAAACATGATGAATACTCCTGCTGCTACTCAAAACTGTGAGACTATGAGTGGATCAACTAAGAGGGTTGAGCACATTAAAGATCCTAATGCCCCTCCACCTGCAAAACTTAAGAACGACTGGACATCAGAAGAGGAGATTGCATTGATAGAGGCATGGTTGCATATATCTATGGATGCTGATGTGGGAACTAATCAAAAGAGTACAGCTATGTGGAATCGTATACTAGAAGTCTGGAAGGAGAAAATGGGACCTGGGCATAAAAAATCTAGAACTAATAACAGTATACAGTGTCACTGGTTCCAAATTCGAAGTGCAGTATCCAAGTTTGTTGCAAAATATGAGCAACTAGAAAGATATCCAAAAAGTGGTACCAACTCAGAGGACTTGGTAAGAGCATTATCTTGTTTTTAAATTTAAAATACTTTATGAATTTATTTATTTATTTATTTTTTTCTATAGCTAAGGAAAGCATTGGAGTTATACAAAGATTTTTATGGGACTCATTTCAAGCATCTCCATTGTTGGACTATTTTGGTCAAGAATGCAAAGTGGTGTTCTACGAATCTTACAAGGACTGGCGTACAAGCTAAAGGAAACTCTGATCAAAGTAATTCTCCACCGGTAGATGACTCTCCAGCTAGTATCATCAAAGATCAAGTTTTGCCTGAAAACATTAACCAGGAAGGTGTTGTGCGTCCACAAGGAAGGAAAGCTTGTAAGGAGAAAAAACGAAAGCTCAATGAACAAGACGGCGTTGCGGATGCATTGAATAAGATCCAAAGTACTTTTGATAAACAGGTCAATTACAATATTACCAGCTTGGAGTTGAAAAAAGTGAAGGATGAAAAAGAACTTCAACTAAAAGAGCAAGTGATAAAAGAAGAGATAGAACTGAAAAAAAATGCTCAAAAATTTAAGGTGGAAGCTCATGCAATGCAATTAAAAGAACAAAGGAGGCAAGACATCATGAACCAAGATCTAAGCAAGTTGTCACCATCAGTGCGAGCTTCTTATGAAGACATGCAAGCTCAGATTTTAAAACAATGGCAAATAGATGGTCTCTGATCTTCTAAACATAGGTAGCAAGTGTTGATGTTTTAGGTTTAGTTTAGTACTTTGTCCTACTGTTGTTTTGCAAGTTCTTTTTTACTATGCTCTTTAGTACATGTTTTATATCAGTGAAATTTTTATTCCATTTTTATATACTTCATTAAGTCTAGCTAATACAAAATGCCTAGCCGTGTGAATTGCAACCCTTTTTTGTTTTCATATTTAGAAATTGATTGCTACCCACAGGGATTTTACTGGTTTCTTGCAATACCTTAGTCATTTATAAAGTGCCGCTATATTTTATGACCATACTTCATAAATGAAATTGAGAAACACTAATATATGCTTGATGGATACTGAAAATTAAATCTGGAAATATAACTGAAGGACTTTCACTATATAAAAACATAACACTCCAGTAGAAACCTAAGAAGGAAGAGTGCTTTTACATGTCTTTTGAAGTTAGTTCAAGATAGCAAATCTCGACAATTCAATATGTAGGTCCATCATTAGATGAATTTGGCCTTTAACTATACGCCACCGACTTTGTAACACTCCAAATGCTCGCTCGACATCTTTTCGTACCGATTCTTGGCGTTTTGCAAATAACTTTTCCTTCATAGAACATGGTTGTGAGATTGTTTGGACTAAAGTGGCATATTTGGGATAAATACCATCACATAAGTAGTATCCCATATTATATTGATGACCATTTACTATGAACTCACATGCCGGAGCAATATCATTGACGATATCGTCAAACAAGGGAGATCTATCGAGGACATTAACATCATTATTAGTACCAGCCATGCCAAAGAATGCATGCCAAATCCATAAATTATGCCCGGCTACAATCTCAAGAATAAGAGTTGGAACTTTCTTAAAACCGTTAGTATGTGTTCCATGCCATGCAGTCGGGCAATTTTCCCAATGCCAATGCATGCAATCTAAACTACCAAGCATACCTGGAAATCCACGAGACTCTCCATCTGCTAATAAAATGCTAATATCGGATTTATTTGGTTTCCTTAAATATTGTTTTTCAAACAATCCTATTATAGCATCACAGAATTTCTTTAAACTTTCAATTGCAGTGCTCTCTCCAATTTGCACATATTCATCAAGAGAATCAGCTGAACATCCATATGCAAGCATGCGTACTGCCGCTACCACTTTTTGTAAAGGACTCAACCCCATATTTCCAACTGCATCCACCTTTTGGGTGAAGTAATTTCCATAACCCTCAACAGCTTGCAAAATTCGTTTGAATAGATCAATATTCATTCGAAATCGACGCCTAAAAGTATCCGGTGTATACTTTGACTGATCACCTATGAAATAATCACTAAATATTATATCATGACGTTTTTTCCTATCACGTCGAGTATAAACTCTACCGAATTTTGAACCGCCGTGTGGGAGCTTTCTTTCCACAGACAATGTTGAAATTATCATAGGAACATGAATTGCACACGCTTCAATTAAATTGTTATTTGTTTCATCATAAAAATCTTCCTCCTCCAATGGTTCATCAAATAACTTTTTAGCAAGTGAGAGGGATTCTGTGCTTGATGTTCCGCTTCCAGAGTCTGATTCATTGTTCAACAATGACATTTATTATAATTTGAACCTGTTGAAAAGTAGGTAATTAGGTTCATAACATGTTAAGATGTTTTTGATTGGACTTATTTGTCTGTTATAAAATACATATAGACCATACATGAACAAGACCAAACACTACTTTAGACCAAATCAGAAAATTTAAGTTGGTTAAAAAATATCCTTTTAATCACAATAGGAATTGAACTACGTACTGTAACATACCAACATTTATAAGAGACAAGAATAGCATATTTAATCATACAAAAGTAATGATGTTATTAAATCAAATTACTTTAATTTAACCATATGCACGTATGTTATTACTTTTTCAGAAAAAAATTAAATTAAATTAAATTAACTTATTGAAATTAACCACCTTTAAGATCCCTTGCATGGAGAAAGTGCTTCAAAGAAGTACGTGATCTGCAGATTAGAAATAACAGATATAGAAATTGTGTATTCAATGGGCGAATTTGTTAACAAAAAGGGAAAATCAAGGAGAAATTATTTAGAGAACAAACTAAATTAAAAAGCTTGGCAAGAGGATTGTTGGCAATACCCCAATAGGCGACGGCTTGAATGCTTGATCGTGAATCTGGGATGGAGTTTGAACTAGGGAAAATCTTGGGTTTCTATTTATTAAATAATTAAATATATTCCACATATACAAAACGGTTAAACAATAACGTGATGCATTGGGGAGCCATTTAATACTTTACTAGTTTGAGTTTTAACATTGATCCTACATGTATATACATTCCATACATATATTGACATGTGTCACCGACTTTTTAGTGTTAAAACTTAAAAGCATCACATTGGAGATGCTCTTACCTTTTTGACATTCTAGTTAAAGCTTACCATTTTTATTTTAGAAAACAAGGTAGTATCATTCTAAAATGACACTGAAATATTAGAAATAATACACCGACAACATCACAATTAGCATCAATGATCCCAATATACTTTTCATCCATCAAAACTACACTTTAGAATATACTCGAGTAATCTTATTTAATTATTAAATCATTCAATATATGAAAGTAAAAGTCACGTATTCTTAAAAAAAAAGTGTCTCATAAAATTTATAAGCTAAAGACATGAATTATGAAATTGTCTATTAACTTCATTAGTCATTTGTGCAAACTCAATCTAAAATTCATAAACATTTCTGATTTCACTCCAAGCTCGTGTAGTATTTGATTTGACCATAGCTTGCTGTATTTCGTTCCGTTTAAGTGTTTATATCTCGCTGGAAATATCTTAATGAGTTCTTAAACTCGTATTCAAACACCTGTTTCAAAATATTACGGAAAAAATGTTAAGTATTTGATTTGATCATACTTCGCATCTGATTGTATATTCTTCCATTTCAAACATTTTATAGGCTGGTTTGCAACCACTTTAAAAAAAGCACTTCTCAGCTTTTGGCTTAAAAAAGCACTTATTTACCAAACACTACCAATTTTTTATTTTTCTCGGCTTTTGTGTCAAAAGTGCTTTTCCACTTTTTATACACCAAAAGCACTTATTTTACCAAACACTACCAACTTTTACTTTTCAAAATCACTTTTTTCTCAAACACTATCAACTTTTACAAATAATCACTTTTTCCAAATCACTCCAAAAGTGCTTTTTTTAAAGCAGAAGCTGTTGCAAACACTCCCATATCTCGTTGGAATGATTTCTAAAACTAGTGTTCCTACTTCATTTACCATGAATCAAGTGATTAGTTGTATTAGTTCATAGTTTGATTATTTAGTTCATAGTTAATTAACATTATTATTTATGAGAAAAACTCAAATTTCCCATCTAAACTCCCAAACCCTCGTCTCCTCCATTTCCGTCTTCACAAGTCTTTCTTGAGATTTTCCAGTGCCGGTGATCATAAAACACCCCACAGGGCTTTTGTTTCGAGTTTCTAGCTTCATTATTTTATATGCGGATCGAGTGAGTCGAAGGTTTACTTTTTATTTTCGTACAGTACTCAGTAGTACATCAGAGGCAAGAATGGCATACAGACGGAGTGTAACCTCCAGAGCTAAGCTTTTTTATCCGCACCAACCTATTACACCTTCGTTTTCGCACATACAACGCGATGATGATCGGAAAACTGTCAAACCTCACTCCCCTGATACTAAAGTGTTCAGTTACATTCAGTACAGATGCATTGGTAACGGTGTTGGTGGTTCGAAACTCTCATTTCTGGCCCCTAAATTTTCTGCTCAGCAGCTGAGACCTGCCATGAGCTTGGGGGGTTCTGTAGTAAGGAATATGTCTACTAATATTGGAGAGGGAGTGGATAAGATGGAGTATGTGACTGATATTGCAGGTGTGCTGACTGATAGTGCTGGTGAGGCAGTGGCTTCTCAAGCTCCAGTGGTGAATGAGGTGGCAATGGCTGCTGCAGACTCCTTTTTGCCAGTTGCTGTGTTGCAGCACTTGATTGATTATGTCCATTGCTATACTGGCTTCAATTGGTAAATCATTTTGTCATTTACAGAATTTCAGGAAAATAAGATGGAATTTGAGGATTGTGCATGTTTTATTTCTTTGCATCTGAACAGATGGGGTTGTAGGATTTACATATTTACATAATGCTTTCTTTGTATACCACCAGGCTACACACCAACCTTCTTCACCAGATACATGCTCTGTGTGATTTGCATAAATAATTTGTAAAACCTAGCCCCTTTGGTCGGTGGGTTCATGCTTACAGACACCCCTGTCCTTGACTCTCTGTCATGCACTGAGATTAGAAGGATCAGGAGCACTTAAAGTTCTTTACTTTCAGTTACTCCTGAAACTTTTATGCTTTGAACATTCTTCATTTTTTAAGCCTTAACCATCTTGTTCTGTATTGTAGTTGTTATACTAGTAGCAGGGCCATGATCCTGATCACTCTTTAATAATGTAACCTTTTCAGGTGGGCATCAATTGTTGCAACAAGTGTTATGATTAGATTGGTAACTTTGCCATTGAATATACACCAGATTAAAGCCACTTCAAGATTAACAGTATGTATCTATACATTTATTCTGGCCTCAGGCTATTATATTTCTTATGGTTTTTATACTTCTATGCTTTGTGCCTATTACTGAAAGCATAGGCAATTCTATGTGTTCCACTTTTGATTTGTGCACATTTCCTCTAAAGGGCACTAGGGCAGCGTAAAAATCAATGTATTAGTGTCTTCATAGATCTGGGATTCATATATTACACTGGGGCCTGCCTTTATAATGTAGAAAAGGTTTATTGAAAGAGGAGATCGATCAGCAGCACTGGTGGGCTACAAGGGTGGTGCAGTTCATGGAGAGTTTTGTCTTCTTATATTTGAGATCTTATTCAATAAATATTTCTGCAAAAACTTCATCTATATATCATTTGCGATTTCGCGTTACACATATTACTGATTTTGTTTACCTTCAGACTTTCAGAGAGCCTAGATATTTCAATTTTGAACTCTAACCGAGCCAACCATAATGATAAGTCGCGATACTTTTCATTTTTATTAAATAAAATTGACATCCCATAGGCCATGGACTCTTTGAGGCTTTGAAGTCTTGTATTATCTGTCTGTATCTCTTTATCTTTTACTACATTGAACAATATGTGAAAGGTTGAAGGATAATTGTTATTTTTTTTCTGTTTGGTATTTAACCACCGATTTCGTTTCTAGATTCTTTGGTTGAACTTTGACATTGATTTTCATGTGTTAAGCTTTTGAGGCCAAAATTGGATGAGATACGAGAAGACATGCAGAACAGGGTAATGATCACTTGGAGCTCTTTTATGATCTAGATTTGAAACTTTGCCTGCTATTATGTTACACAAGCTCAATTGAACCATCCCTAGTGCACCCTGTTTATGATATATTTGAGTGCATTATATCCCACTGCATTGTGTTTATTTGTTGTATCAATACACACACACACTATCATAGTTCTACATCTCCTATCTTAGCTGGTCTCTAGTGTTGGATAATGTGGGAGTCAAGATAGATTGATGACTAGTTTAAGGCTCTGTCAATTCTAAAGATATGGATCCCATAGATAATGAAGTTGAGCTGAATGATGGTGCCATGTGTTATATGATTCTTTGGTGTCATACTGTCATATAGAAGTCATGGCCCATAGCTATACATGTCAATATGTCTATGGTTTTCATTTGTTCACAAATTTTCATTCTACATCACTTTGAATAATGCATATGACACTTATTTGCTTATTTTGACAGGGAATGAGTCCTTCAGCAGTGAGTGAGGGTAAAGAACGAATGAGTGCCCTATTCAAGGAGTACGCTGATGTTTTTTTAGCTCACCTATTCTGTATATTCTTTTTGTATGATGTCCATTTCACGATGATACATGTAAATGCAGGTATAATGTTTCGCCCTTTACTGCCTTGAAGGGGATTTTTATTCAAGGCCCTGTATTTGTCTGTTTTTTCCTTGCTGTAAGTTTGTATTTCTCTACTAGTTGCTCATTTCAGTTGATTGCATTTTTGAGTACCTATTATTTTAAAGAGTTGTGCTAATGAATTTCTCATTTTCAACACCATAAAGTATTAACACCAATCTCTGAATTTTAATACTTGTAAAAAATGGTTGCACAAGTAAATCAGTATAGTGCTAAGCCTTTGGGCATTTCATTCATCATCATCATCATCATCATCACCCCAGTGCCGCAAAGGCTCCCACCTATGGTGGGGTAAGGGGGGTCGGATCTATGCAGCCTTACCTCCGTATTAAAGCACAGAGAGACTGTTTCCGGATGACCCATAGTGAAAATCGCGTCGAAAATTGCATGGACTGACTGTTGCTTCATAACAATGAAGCATAGACAGCTTAGTGAGCCATATTGCTTTATTCCATCATATTCTCTAGCCAAAAAATAGTGAATCTTTGAAAAAAATTGTTGTATCAATCTATCATATGTATAATAGTTGTAGGTGTCATATGACTATTTTCATTGAAAAACTGGCATCTTTTCTTATAAGTGTCTTTGAGACATTTTAGCGCGCAGAGGTCAGAAAGAAATGAATTATCTAAGTTCTGCTTGAAGTGTGACTTTAAACGTACACTAAATCTTGATCCAAAAATCAATTAATGCATGTTCTTTTTCCCTGTAGTTTGGTTATTTTATACCTGTTTTTATATATCTATATGAATGCAGATTTCTAATATGGCAGAAAAAGTCCCTTCTTTTAAAGTGGGCGGTGCATTCTGGTTCACTGACTTGACTACGCCTGACATAACATATATCCTTCCAATTTTAACAGCATTGACATTCTTGATAACAGTGGAGGTAAGATATCTCTTCAGAAATATTTAGCTGCACAAGTGTATGTCTACTCCAGTGTGCATTTCAGTGTAGAATCAGTAGTTAGGACCTTAGGTTATGTAATGATAATTTAAGGATTCAAGACATACCTAATAGTTTGCAGTGAGCTTTGTTTTAGTTTCCCACTGTGCTTTTGAATCAAATTGAATGCATTCAAAAAATGTTAATAACAATATTAATGTGCCATGTTCCAGATATGCTAAACTTTATGTCATTCAGAGTTTCAAAGATCATGCTTTAAATTTCTTCGTCTGAGGACTTTTGTCTAAAAAGATTTCAACGGAACACTACACAAAGATTTGACAATAAAGTGTTGAGATATGAATTTACAATATAGATAGTTTTGATACCTAATACTCCGTACTAGTTATTGTTTCTCTTAAAAGAATATTTTATTTTTAGGCAACATGATCTTAATTTCATGTTGCCGGATACAATGAATTCGCATGATTCTTGATCTTCCACAGTTAAGCTGTTTGCTAACATAGAGTTTCTCTTTCCTCAGTGCAATGCACAGGAGGGATTGGAAGGAAATCCTGCTGGTCCAATGATTAAGAATGCTTCAAGATTCTTTGCTGCTCTGACTGTCCCAATGACAGCAACTTTCCCTAAGGTACATGTGATTAGTGGTTGCACAAAATGATGGTTTACATATTCATTATTTTCGTTAATATCAACTTTTAATATAAACTTGAGTTCGGTGATCATTCTTAATTTGGTTAGGACTTTTCCAACCATTTCAGGCTATATTCATGTACTGGATTACCTCCAATCTTTTCTCCCTAACATATGGATTGGGTGAGTTTATTCTCTGAAATAATTGTCTCAACAGTAAATATCTATTTTTTATGTTTTGTCAAATTACTGCATCAGCTCTTTTACCTGTTTAAGTTTTATGTTTCATCAGCACTCAAAAAGCCTGAAGTGAAGAAGCTATTTGGTGTACCTATAATCCCGGTTGCACCACCTACAGCTGGTCAAAAACCCGGATTCTCTTTTTCTGAAGCAATAAGTAAGTATGCTGCATCACAAAATCAGGCACAATCATTATCTAATGATGCATCCCGACCTTCAAACCAAAGAATATCATCATCCTCCGTTCTCAGTCAAAGGATCAGAAGCTTAGAGAAACAAGTAAAAGAGAGGAAGAAAGGCAAGAAAAAGTGATGGGCATTATATTCCAAACTTGCAGAAATCTATAATCACATAATTGCTATCTCCTATAGTGTATTTACATATAATATTCATCTATTGAATGAAATGTGTAATAATTTATTAATCATCAGGAGGAATTTAAACAAGATTTTGACAATTTTACGATTCTTTTCCCTGGGGAGGATTTGTATACTTATAGATACAATTGGAGTCAGAGTGATACCGATAGTCCTTGTTGAGTTATTGAGCATGATTCTTGATGGTGCCAAATGATATTATTCAGCATTATAAGAATCTAAGGGGGCCTTACAGGTTGAAGCTTTGTCTGGAATAATTGCTTGTTGGTTTATCATTTCAATAAATTTCTCGCTGATATGTTTAAATGTTTGTTTAGCTTCGAATTGCAATAGTTAAGACCACATTATGGATTTCCTTATTTTGCTGCCCTTTAAATTTTAGAGCATCTCCAATATAATAATGTGTTAATGAATATGTGGAATGAGAGATAGACATAAAAAGTAAACTGATAACATTTCTCTTTTTTTTCCCATGGGGTATCACTTAAATTAGCTGAATTCATTGAAATTGATGAAATTATGATTGAAATGACTAAATTGGTTGAGGATCCAAAACATCATTCAAATATAAGACATAGACATGAAGTGAAATAAATGGATAAGATTGTTGAAATATGACAATGATGCAATTTAATGGATTAAATGAAACTAGATTCAAGGTTTGATGCAAATAATATTAATAAATGAAGTGCAAATGAGTTTAAGGAAACTTACAACCAAAACTAGGGTTTGCAAGAAGAAAGCTCGTCCAAAAACTATGAAAATTCGAACAAAGGTAGCTATTTGTACATAGGGCAGGAACGCCTTCCCTTTACGAGGAACACGCCGGAGGGAATGCTGGCGGGAACGGCATTCCACCTAAGCATTCCTAACTTTACAAAATAAAACATGCGGCTAATAGAGAGTTCGACGCTGAGAGGAACGGAGTAGGGGCGTCGTTCTTGAGGGAACACTAACAAAAACGCTGTTCCCTGCCAGCGTTCCCACACCTGGGACATAAAATTCGAAAACCGAAAGAATAATGGGGGAACGTTGGAGGGGGCGTCATTCCCTATGACGTTCCTGAGGCTGCCACTGACATCTTCGTTTCTTGCTTCCTTGTGCTCTGCTTGGTTCCCGGGGTCTTCAAATCACCTATTTATGCACCCAAGACTCTTCAAAATGCTCGGTTTTCACCCCTACAATGCCCAAATCCATCCCGTGGTTCCTACAACCAAAATATTGTACAAGTTTAACCAAAATGGGGGGAAAATCTTCAAATGTTAACAAACAAAGACCATATTTATAAGAAAGTATTAGGTGCTTTCACGCCTATCACCCTGCAAACTCGGCAAAACCCAGTCCAAACCCGGGCCTGAAAAACCAGAAAAATTAGGAAAAACCCGTTTTTATTTTATTTTATTTTAAAGCATTTTTAACAAATAAAATTGCAATTTCAATACCCTAAAAAGAAAAAAAAGATGCAATGTATTTATATACTACTTATTTGTTTATATAAAAATAATGTCAAATTATATAATAAAAATAACAAATATGTAGTACCATTATATATTTTATATATATTTTAATAAGATCAAAATGGTATTTTGGAATATTACGTGACTTTTATAACTTGTTGGGTTAAGGGCCGAGCCGAGGTCCGGCCCACTAACCCCATCTTACCAGACGGACGTCCAGAGAAGAACACAAGGCCAGCCCACAGGCCACTGTTCCTTGAGGATGGACGAGCGTCCGGGGTTGGGAGTTCAGGCCCAGCGGCTCATCCCGAAAAACGTCTATGCAGGGACAAGGAGCAGGGCCACGGGCCACCAGGGATGACGACGAACGGCCCTATGGCAAGCCTATAGTTACCGGTGGAAACCCAGTCCACATGGTGAGTATCTATCAAGGCCAGGAGACGAACAGCCGGTATCTCTTGAAGGTCACTTGGAGCGATCAGACTCACTTCCCGGGCGGACGAACGTCCCCACTGATTAGGCGGGAAACCTAGATTCTGGCGGGAAGTGCATTTAATGCTGAAGATTTGGTAGTTGGGGCACCAGTGGTCCACAGGCTGCCACGTCAGCACAGCCACCTGCCCATTGGTGGGTATAAATAGAAGCATTTATTTCATTGTAAAGGGTTGGCAACTTTCTATTCTTAGCATCTAGCTATTGTATTCTTACTCGCAGCACTTCTACTGCCTTGTAAGACGAACGGCCGACGTGCCCTTTTTAGCAAGTAGATTGTACTTAGGGGAGTTATTACGAAGTTAATAATACCTATTTACATTGCCTGCTATTTCCTTTGTTTCCTGATCCATCTGATAGTTGTTGGGCTAGATATTCATACATTCACTCCACTCGAAATCTTTGGGCTTACGTGTTGGGTCCAAGGGTTGAAGGAACAAACCCCAACATAACTTTTAAGGGTTCAGTAAGTTTATATATTATTAGTTGATTATTATAAAATAACTACCTTTATTTAAAATTTGTATACAATTACATGTTGATCGGTTTTATAGCATTGACCGGGTTGACCCGTGACTCGATCATGCGGCCGGGTCGCTTCCCGGTACGGTTTCATAAACATAGATTATAGCTTGAATTTACATAAATTTTATATCCAAATAATTACAAATAAACAAAGTAAGAAAAGTGACCTAAAATTGAATAAATGATTTATTTATAATAAATGAATATATACAACGAAAAATGCCTAAAAGTAAGAGAAGTGACCTAAAATTGAATAAATAATTAATTTATATTAATAAATGAATATATAAAATGCTAAATATAAGAAGACATAAACAATGGTTCATCTCCCTCAAATATAAACTTTGGTAATTTATTTAGTACTACTACTATTTTATTTCTCTATATATCTATTAATACTACCTCCGTTCTCTTTTAATTGCAACGTAGGACTTTTTTCACTATTCACAGATTCTACTTTGACTACATTTTATTTATTAATGTATTATGAGTTAAATTTTTTAAAAATTATTTTCAAATTCCTCTCATAATAAATTTTCAAAATCTGATTTTTTTAATTTTTTTTACTAATAAGGAATGAAAGATATTAACGGTCAAACTTATGTGTTGGCAAGCGTGAAAAGTTGACTGTTGCAATTAAATAAGAACGGAGGAAGTATATAAAAGCAAAAGATTTTCATGAATAGGACTCCCGCTCAAAACTATCAACATCAAGGCAAATAGTGAAAAAGATAAATAAATAAAGGCACAATGCCAAGTTGGGCTATGAAAGTAGCGTGTGAAGTAAGCATAAAGATACATTCACAATTTATTTATACGTGTAACTCTGGCTTTGATTAGTCAATTCATCTCACATTGCCCATACCATTTCATAATTGTTTTTTTGCCAGCCATACACTTAATGAAAATTTATCTATAAATACATCCTTTGATCGTATGGTTTCCTCACACCTGGTCGCTGAACATAGCTCTAACACCAAGCTCTTGAAATACAATATCAAAATGGTTGGAGTATGGTCCCTAATCCGAGGTGTTAGCATCATTCCTGATATGGATAAAGAGGTGGCGAGTTTGATTGGGAGGTCTGCCTTTTCCCAGAAAGATTACACATCAAGATAGGGCTCATGTGTTAGTATTTATGTTTTACCTATATTTTATTTAGCAATGATAAGTAGTGATAACTCTCTACTGGCTATGACTAACATTTTGTTATGTTAGTGTAGTGTACATCTTTTACGAAATTTTTAATTTTTTAGCATGTCAAGAATGATAGTGAGATGATCGTGATGCATAAAATGTATAGGGATGCATATAATGCTTATGGATTTTACAGCACTTTTCCAGTGCATAAACCACATTAAAAATGATGCATGTCATTCCTGATAAAGATTGAACTATTCATTTACATTCTTGCAAAAGGCAAATAATCAGATTCTCATAGACAGATACCCATTTAAAAAAATCTAGATGTGTATAAAAATCTGTATTAATTAATGTCAAAATGTCAAACGTTTGTTATTGATGAGAAATGAGTACATATTTTTATCATTTCTCTTGACTCTGCGTACAAACAATGAACACGGTGCAAAGCAGTTTAATCAATAGTCTTTCCTGATTAATAAATCATATAATTGAATCAGTGAAAAATTAAATTTCAAACTAAAATGCAATTAAGTGGTCTTTCCTGACCATGCTTCGTAAAAAGTTAGAATCAGTTATATGGTTTCAAGTTTACGCGAAGGTGTAAGCTGTGTGAATACTGTGGGTTCTTGATTTCAAAGGTTTATTTATATACTTTATTTTTAGATCCACTCAAAGCTTTGTTGGTTACAGTAGAATTTTGAAGAATACATCACACAGCCAATATTGGTGGGGGAGATAAGGTTCAAGTGTTTAGTTACATACAACTTCTATAACTTGGCAAAAGAATAATCACATAGATTCCCATTTGTTCTGGAAATAATACATTATAAAAATGTAAAGATTAGATTTGAAAATTTTTGGTTAAATACTATACGCATGTCTATTAGCAAATGTTTAATTTTGAGTCTCACAGATTATATCTTATGTAATCTTCAACAATAGTTCGTGACTTCGTGTATAGTTTAATTTAATTTTGAGAAAATGATCCGATAAGGCCTTCTACTATTATGAAATAGTCACATAAGGTCATGTACTTAATAAAGTGTCATATAAGTACCTCTACTTGTAAAAAGCAATCAAATGGGTCCTAATGACCTATTTAACACCTCTTAATCTCGGTTTTAGCATACTTCTGACCATCTTTTTAGAATAGATTATACGACATACGTCGAATATTTAACTAAGATTGGTTGAAATACAAGTCAAAAAAATCGACATGTAAGCTAAAACCGGGATTAGGAGGCTGTAAATAGATCGTTATGACTCATTTGATTGTTTTTTACAAGTAGAAGTACTTATATGACACTTTATTGAGTACATGACCTTATGTGACTATTTCATAATAGTAGAAGGCCTTATTTGACCCTTTTCTCTTTAATTTTTCCTGAAGTAGTTTAACTTTTTTTCATATATTTGTAAAAATTGTTGATTAATTTAAATACATAAAACGGATGAAAAATCAAATGAACAGTGTCTGCATATTCATTAGATCTGTTAGTTGTGAATGATGTGGTTTGTATAGAAGTCTGATTAATTTCCGAAAAAATGACTATTCGATGAGATGGTTCATGTATTATAGAGAGATTGTTGTGTTATTACTGTTCTCATATAACTCTGAACGGCGAAAAATATTAAGATAGACAGTCGATTGATTCAGGGCTTGATGGATCAGATTGGTTGACTTCCATCAGCGCAGGAAACTTTCACCACCCCATAGCCTTCC